TTTTTTTTGTTTTTTGTCGCACGGTGCGGAGAATTTTTTATTGATGGTAGATTTTTTTTTTTTTTTTTATTTTTAATACTGTACAATTATTTACTTATAGTACATGCATACGTTTGAACAGATTTTTGCTTCTTCAAAAAATTTCAAATTTGTCAAATAGGTGAAGTTATTCTGATTTACAGGATTTAGTCAATAAAGGGCTGTTTCAAGCTCTCAAGAAAATGGAATATTTCATATAAAATAACGCTCACAAAATGGAAAAGAAAAATTTTTTTCTGTTAAAATTTCTTAAATTAGTTTAATAACTTTTATATCTTCAAGAAAATTTACAGCAAAGGTAAAGTAATTTTATAAGCAACAAAAATAATGAAAAATTCTTGTGATGTTTCTTGAGAGCTGGATTCCTAGCTTAATTCGGGAAAGACTTTATAATTTCTTTAAAAAAAAAAAAAAATTACAATATTATTTCAAGCTATTTAAATAGATGACCTTAAGCCATCTCTTCTTTTTACTTAATTTTTTTATCCCAAGACAATCTTATATACATATACATATGTACTACATACTTTCTTCTCTGTCCTCAGTTACGAAACATCCAATGGCATCAAGGTCGAAAACGCTGGCTACTTGAAGAGAATTCTTGTGCCAAAACAGGAATCCACCGATGGTCAGGTGATTGATGAGCACGAAGAGTTGGTGTTAGTGCAGACAGGCTTATACTCCTACCCGGATCCGGAAGGAAACCTCATCACCCTGCGCTACGTGGCCGATGAGAATGGCTTCCAGCCAGAAGGTGAACACTTGCCATTACCGCCAGCATAAAACCAGGAAGTATCTGCATAAAAAACTTAAATGAATGAGTTCATTATTTGCTGCAAAATATAAGTAAATAAAAAGCTCAAAGAAAAGAGAAATGAAAAACCGATTAAGTTGTATGCGCTAAGTATTACATTTAACTAAGTTAATAAGTTGCGAAATGGTTAATAAACCATAAGTCAATAGTTGTATAAATTTAAGTAATTAAAAAACGACAATGCTGCCATTTAATGATAAATAAAAATAAATGAAAACAAAATAATACATGAGCGTGTGTTGCACTGTGAACTTTAATTATGAATATGTCTCACTTGGCAGAGCAATATGTAAATAAACTCGGATCAACAACGATCAACTTTATGTAATTTACAAATCTCCAAATTAGCAAACATACTTACATACATACATATGTACATACATATCGTTTGTAAAATTTTATATTATTAACAAATATGTAGAGTTTATAAAATAATATTTTAAATAGCATTTAACTCGAATGTATAAATAGTTGTATAAAATGACTAATAATAAAATATAAAATATACTTTAAGCAAACAGCATATTATTTAATCCAGTCAATTTTATTTTAACCCTCGAAGGCAGCCTACACGCCTGCTGCGACCTTCAACACTGACTCATTTCTTCGGAATCAGTTTTTGAACAGCGATTAAGTAAAAATTGCCATTATCGCATATCATCTCCACAAATTGCCCTTGTACTCACTTTTCGTGCAGTTTTCATGAACAACGGCGTGGAATTTAATATTAATTTAATAAAATAACCACAATGATAATCGTATGTATGTACGCACATACAAATATGCATAAGCAAATATTTACCCGCCTATCTTCATCAGCCGAGTCGTTGGCATGTCAGTGATAAAATGCGATACGCACTTTTCCAAATTACCACAAATAACTCGCGTGCTTGCGTTTTTTTTTTATATAGTTTGTTTGTTTTTGTTTTTTTGGTACTCGAATTACCACCACCTAAAGGCCAAAGCTCGTCGACTTACGAGTGTGCAAGCACATTAATACGCCTTTTGACAATGATCGCGCCACTTAGTAAATTCAATTAACTGCGATCATAAGGCCTATGCAAATATGCATGTGCATTAGGGTGTATCACCAAAAAAACAAAATGTGGCGGAATTTCACCGTAAATATAAAATGTGTCAAATTTTACAACTTCCGCCAAAATAAATAGTTCGAAAAAATATTACAATTTAGCTCACGATTTAAAAATGCCACCAAAATTATCGTTATTTTGATGCCGCTGTAACATTTTTTATACATTTTTATGCAAACCTTATAAGCTTAAACTGTTCCAACATATAAGTGATTTTTTAGAAAAATAATAATTTAAAACTAATTTTATTCAAAAAATCGAATTTTGAGGTATTTCCAGATGGGACCAGCGGATTAAAACTTTAGATTTTACCGAGATATTTTGGTGGCTGTCTTAAACTATTATAACTTGTATAATTCCGATGGAAAAACCTTACCTACCGATTTTGTTTCTCTTTTTTTTTTGTATGGAGAGTGGTGCACCCTTATGTTTATACTCATGTGTATGTAAGTGTATTTGTAGTTTTAAATGCCTCGCTTTTGTGGTTTGTCTAGATGGGAGTTTTCGGCATTTTGTGGTTTACTTATTTTATTACTTCACTTGACTCGCCCATGTCTTGCCATTGATATGTCATCTTTCATTGGAAGCATCAGTGAATGATCGAGAAAATGCGTTCATATGTAAGCATACTAATACTAGTAAAAATATATATCATTTCGCGGTAAATTTTTTTGACATTGAGAGTTGAATTTTTCTTTGAATATTCAATTTCAGAAAAGGTATCCAATTAGATGCAAACTATGTATAGAGTTTCCTTTTTTTATATTCTTTGATAATACCCAGCGAAATGCCATCCGTTGGAGGCAGATATTTATTGAAATATTCAGGAAAGAAATATTTTTAAATTTTCAAAATAATCGGGCAACAATTACGCCCAAAACGATAAATGCTTAGTGTTTTAATCACTGCCAACGTTACCATATAAAGAGATGCCTTTTGATATGTCTGGAAGTTAAGCTATTTATTCATTCAAACTCCTGCAAAAATTATTTATAAATGCGTCGTGACCGAAACTACATTGTCAACTATTTCGATTCGGTTGCCATCTTACCTTTTTGGACACCATTCTTAGGTCATATGCGGCACGTATTTATACTTTTTATCGTGGCATAAATTAGCAATTTTATTTTGGGTACATACATGGGCCGAAAATCCGCTTTTTTAGAATTTTGTTTGGTGACAGCAAAAATATGGTTCATTATGCTCTGAAAAAAACCTGTGCGAAATATGAAATTTTTTGGTTAATATCCTAGGCTCGTCCAAGTCCATCAAAGTTCAAGTACTAAAAAAAATTTTTTCTTAGCTAACTTCGATTCTCTTCAAAAAAGGTACATATACCAAATTATGTAGGACTGATACTTTCGAAGATTATTGCAATTTTAGTAAAAAAAAATGTATTAATTCATTTATTAATTAATTTTTATTTTTTAAGCATATTGAACTTTGATGGACTTAGGCGAGCCAAGGATATTGACTAAAAAATTCCAAATTTCACACAGATTTTTTTAAAGCATAATGAATAATATTTTTGGTATTACCAATCAGAATTCTAAAAAAGCGGATTTTCAGCCCCACGCTAATATATATGTCTTCTTCTTATTTTGCAATACAACACTTAGGGCCGGTTGTTCAATGTCTGATTAGCACTAATCGCAGGTAGAAGCTCCGGTTAAACATAACGACTGCTTTATCGATCACATGTTATATGAATGATGTTGAAAACGTCGATAATGATGTTTCACCGGCAAGTAGTGATAGCCAGACATTGAAAAACCGGCCCGGTGCCTGTGCCTGGCGCTTGGTAAATAAATCGATGGGCGTCTCTCTGTTAGGTTAGGTTAAGTTAAGGAGGTCTAACCTAAGTTTAAACAAAAATAGCTGCGTGCCGAAAACAGAGCGATCCGCCGGGCTGGTTAGAAAGTACAATCCCAGTTGTCTAAACCGCATTCTTGTGAAAGCTGGGCCATTTAAGAGGAAAAGCTGAGGGTCCCATATGATGTTTAATCTCTCTTCGTGAATTCTAATCGGATAGTGATCTGTCAGTGCACTCATACTAGTCTAACAAGTTAATAGTCCGATGCGACTGCAAGGCATTACCCTCCTAGTTTTGGGAGTACAATAAGCAAGCCCAACGCTCTGATTGCCGCTTGACTGCCGGAGTAGATATCAACTTTCCTTACCGTTATCACGCGCAGTAGCAGCCGATCAACTGCTTCGTTGATTACAGCTTGGAAAACACCATAGTGATCTGAAAGCCTAGATTTAGGGTTGATTGATAGTTCCTGGAAAAATATCCATATACCGATCTTTCCATTAGCTTCGGTCCATCCGTGTAAATGTTTGCCGATGCCTCCTTACAACCGCTAATCCTCGTTCTCTTATCTCTTGATGGGATATTCGTGGAGAAAGAGCTAAGTAATAAAATCGAATACTCCAAGAATAATAGAGCTTCCCGATCTCGAGTCAGTTAAGCAACCGTTACAGCTGCTTTACCTGCGATGTTGAGATGCGCTGTATTAAGCATAACGCTAACGGCTATGATCCTAATGGTCATCTTCTTCCAATGAGGACATTTTGTTGCTTTCGCTCGCTTATCGACTAGCATAGTCTTCTCCCTCTGTTGTATTTCACCAGACGAGAACTCCATCAAACATAATTTACTTGAATATGGTTTCATAGAGTCAAATACGTTCATTTACTAAAAATGTATAATGTTCTCACTTTCCGCCAAAAAATGTCATTGTTAATATCAATTTAGAGTGAATAAGATTCAATAGTTAATAAAATATCGCAATTTATTTATTTTAGCAAACTACTGTTACATGAGAAGTAGGCGGGGTTATCGTCCGATTTGGCCCATTTTCAATACCATCCATATATAGCTTTGAAGAAATACACGTACGAAAGTCCGTTAATATTTAAAGGGATAACGCTTACTATATGGGCATTGTTTAAGAGCTTTATTTTAGTACCCATAAAGAGTAATATTGTATTTTAATTTTCTAAACAAAAAATGAAATAAGCACATGATGCAAAATAGGTGGCAACCCTGTCAAAGGATATTTGAATTGGGAATTTTCATATTACTTTCCATTTTATACCCATATTATGATATTTTATTTAGTTTGCAACTACTTTCGAAAAGGTGGCCACCTTATACGAATATTCTTGGAGATAAGGCCTACTTATTAATAATAATAATGCATTAGTCACCCCTCGACAGGCAAGGACAAACCTCCGACCGTATTCTGACGGGAAAAAAGAGCTTTTCAAAAAAAAAATAATAATAAAATAAAAATAAAGTCTCCGTTCGGACTGAAAGTGTGGAATTCAAATGCGTACTTCTAACCACTAAACTTCAGCGGCCCTGTTTAGATAACCTTAAAATGCAAAATATTATCTGACTACAAAATTTCATCAAAAGAAACCTGTGGATATATATTTATATATGCATGTATACACAAGAATTCGTCGTTTAAACTTTAACATAATAAGATAAGCATTTTTAAATACCAAATGTAGAGTGCACTTGACTACCACTAACGTCCTCCTAAATGTATGCAACACTAATTAAAATTAACAAAACAAAAAGTTGCGCCTCCGAAAGCAATAAACACCAATACTAAGCTATTTTAATTGAAATTCATATATCGAAGTAGCCAAAATCACTAATAATTAACTGTTCGATGCTATTAAACAGAAAAACATTCCAAACTTCTTACTCAACAAATATGCGTGGCAAAACACTTTGGCACATCATTAAAAGTCCAATGACCGTCAAATTTAAGGCAACGGTCCAGACGCCAACGCCTGACAACCAAACGTGCAATTCAATTAGAATCGAAAAGTACTGAGCTTTCCTATTTTAATTCAAGTGCATACTCAAAACTACTTTTTTTTGTGCATATTTAGTACTTCCATAAATACATAGTTATGTAAGGGTGTGTATAAGGTTGTCTGCATATATTCAACGGCCACGTGATTTTGTATGCAAATGGCATTTGACATTTACGAGCCTTGCTGCTTTGATTCTCGCACGTGACCAGAGTTAACTATTTGCTATTGGCTAGTAATCTTCTTCCCATCAAACGGTAGATTTGTTGACCATTTAAAAGTCACT